CATTAGATTATTCTTGGCCACTCTGTTCTTTGCATTTTGTGTTTCCCTTCTCAGAGGCTCTTCAACACCATTTATCGGTTTATCCACTACTTTAATCAACCTAGCAGAACCATTTCTTAAATCTCCGTGGTATTTATGCTTCATCTCTTCAAACTCTGAATCAGTGCTACCTCTTTTCCCTGATCTTCTATGAGACATCTTAAACTTGTTATAAGATTAAAAGCTAAACACTAGTTTGTGTTTTGTTGATAACCAAGCTAAACTAGAGCTAACCAAGAATACATGTGAAAGGAAATTGAAATGAACTAGAAACAACAATGTTTATAAGACAATCGAAAATAAAACAGATAAAGTGGAAGACTCAATTATCAAATCTATCTTGATTTTTCTTTCCTCTAACAAAATGTTATTGCTATTACTTGCCTTGCTGTATGATTCAACAAATATCGATCCCTCAGAGTGAAAAGTGGAAGAGCAGAGAAAGTAATATGTGGAACAAGAAACTTCCACATATTATGTGCATGTCTAGGACATTCGTTCACTACTTGCAGTACATTCTCATTGACATAATTTATGGCACTACTCAGCTGGTATATTAAGAACGAAGGGCAAGGTATATGTAGGATCTCATGGATCTCTCAGACAACAACTCATTTATTCTTTCCACGACACTTTCCTTGGTGGTCATTTTGGTTAGTTAGCCCTAACCTAAATCTCCCTTTAAACCTAAAAATACAAATCCCTAACCTTAATTGTGGTAGAGGTGAACACGTTGAACAGAGGCAACGGATATTCCAACGGCCGTAGTAGAGATTCCAAAATTAACGGCAGTGGCACATGTCGATATCTTTAATATTTTGAATTTGGATTTTTTTATTTACCGATGGATAGGATAACTGTCTATATATTTATTTTGAATTTGGGGTTTTTTCTTAATATATCCTATGGATTGAGGAATTATATTTTATATTGAATATATCCGAGGTATAGATAAATCGTCGATATATTTAAAATTTTGCATTTTGCATTTTTTTCTATAAAAGATTACTTAAATTTTCAATGATTACATTTTATATCCATTGAAAAATTGGTCTATTGTCGAGGTCAAATGAGTCCTGAAGCAGACATACACTATATTTGCCGATTTCGTGAGCTATAGTTCACCATCTTTTTTGGTGATCTTGATTAATGTCATTCAAAATGCCGAAATTTTTTCTAGACGTTTGGTAATACCTCAACTATGGAGTCGGTTGGATGGCTAAACTAGTTCACTCAGCTATGGAGACTCTGACGGCCAAACTGGTTCACTTTCGATGTCAAACGAATCTTGAAGCAGGCATACCTCCTATTTTGCCAATTGTTATGTGATATAGTTCACCATATTTTTTGGTGATCTGGATTTTCGACATCTAAAATGCTAAACGTTTTCCTAGACGTACGTAAAGACCTTAGTTAAGGAGTCGGTGGTCTAGAAAAGGCTGTATCCCTCCTCCAGGGCTTTTGACTTTGAAAATGGTCCGGTTTGACCGTCAGGGCATACCCCCATTTAACATAATGTTCTAATAAGTATAATATTTGAATTGGGTAAAATATGATTCAACTCATGATTTTTTGGGATATGTGCACTGGGTCTCATTCCAGACTCGTCGGCTAGAGTGTACAACAAATCAAAGATGATGCCCCTCTTGGCAATCTTTCAACAGAGGTTGTCATCAAAACCATCAAATTTTCAGATTATGACTTGCATACAGTGATCAAGAATCATCCTTTCTGGATGGAATCGTTCAGTCAGGTACTATTACTGTTCGGTCAAGTATGGGAAAACCATTCCATGATTTTGTAAAGATTCTTCATAAAATAAAATTAGTAAAGTTTTTCCGGTCTAGTATATTTGAAAAGTATCTAAACTTGCCGAATAACAAAACCCGACAGTTCCATATGAATTTTACGTATCATCTTCTGCGGTGAAGAATTGTTAGTGAGGAAAAAAAGCACTTTGGGTCAACTATTGTGGCATGTTGGTTTGCTTTGGCATCAAAGAATTTGTATTTATGACAGGCTTAAATTGTCATAGTGTTGCCAATCGGAATCATCCGAGTCAGTTGATATTATTAATAGGCATAGACAATTGCTTTTGTTGACTAAAAAGGGCTTCAAAGAGAAGAATTTAATTGTCCTTCTAGAATCTTGAAAGGTTGATGAATCTTGCAGAAAATCTTTGTGCTTACTTTGGTTTGTGCGTGCTATTCTTTGTGCGCGTTATCCATCAATAATATTCCTCCCGAGTGGATTAGTCTATGTGCCAACTACAACACATTTTGTGTCCATCCATGTGGTCGAGATAGATTCAGGGTCACCATTGAATATCTCTTGAATGATTTGAACCCAACCGGGAAAGGAACCAATCTATCTATCTTTCCATGGGCTTTCACGGTAAATTTTAGTCAATCTTTTTTATATCTATTCTTATTGAGTTCATTATTCATAATTTGATCCTTGGTGATATTATTTTAATAGGATTGGGCATTTGAAGCTATTTCACATCTTCAGACTCTATTTAAGGACTTATTACAAGAAGTTACTTGTCCAACGATTCTTAGATGGATCAATGCTAAGAAAAATGCTTTATTTAAAATTGATAATTTATTTAGACCCCCAATTAACTCGGTAAATCCAATTTTATATTTATATACCCTTTCTTTTTATTTTCGTGTTTCAACAATTGTCAAAACAGTTACAACAGTTGCAAAAAATAGACACAACTAATGCAATTGTCATACTTATGGAAAATTATTCATACTTATGCCTTAATATTTATTTTTCGTATAGATTCTTTACCCATGGATAGATCCTTCAATCGCTGAGATGGAGATAGAATGTCTTGCTAAATTTGTTTCTCTGAAAGAAAAAAATGTGGATCCTAAGCTTTGAAAGTATTTGACCGGAGAAACAGTCACTAAAATAGATTTATATGTGGTTGATATTGGTGGTGGTGGTGGTGGTTATGGTACCTCTAAGGTAAACTCTCAAGAGGAAGCCATCGACAAATTGACCTCTAAGGTGACCTCTCAAGAGGAAGCCATCGAAAAATTGATTTCTAAGGTGAGATCTCAAGAGGAAGTCATCGAGAAATTGATTTCTAAGGTGAGCTTTCAAGTGGAAGACATTGTTTTCCAAGGTAAATTCTCAAGATAAAGCCATCATAACATTGATTTTCAAGGTGAAGACATTGATATCCAAAAGGGGTATCATCTGTCTTTGAGACTTCACACTCGTGTTGATGCAATAAAAAGGAATAGCAGACTGACGGATAAGATAGTAGAAAGTGCTACGGAAAACACTATCGAAAATCCAAAGACGATGGCTGATCAACAAATGAAACTCCAACCGGTAGATATTTATCAACATGTAGATGCCAAGAAAAAGAATAACCTAGAGTCACTAATTAAGAGAAAAAGGATAGTCAAGGAAATATATACACCATTCATGAGTTGCATAATGAGGGTTTTTAAGTGTTGACATCAACGGATATGTGGTGGGAAGACCGTATAAGTTCCTACAATTTCTTTGAATTCCTTCTTTTCCATAGCTCCCATATAATTATGCATGGACCAGGGTTGTTGAACATGCTGCATCAATTCTATTTATTAATTTTTTTCATCATTGCAGCATGTAGATGAAATATTAAGCCTTATGCACAAAAGACACATAGATTACCCCACACACTATCACCTGACAAACGTAATCCACGACCTCACTTTCTACATTTTTTGGAAGTCTACCTATGATGAGTTGTGCGAGGCTAGTTCGAAAAGTGGTGCTATTTCATTAAAGGATCGTCTTGAATGTACGTGTTTGAAGATTTTTACATGGAAGATTGCACCGACACCAAACCCTATCCCGACAGTGTCCCATGGACAGGGGTCAAGAGAATCTACACCGTAATAAATCTAGATAAAAAATGAATTTTGTCTCTCTCGAGTTGCTAATCGACTAGGAAAAGATAATTGCTTATGATTGCAACCTTTTAATCTACAGAGAAGATGAGTTATTTTTATTCATTGATTCTATGTTGAACTTATTTCCTAGATCTTTTAAGAAGTGTGGATATTTCAACCACTTTCCTGAAAATCTGCTCAATAATGAATGGACTTATGAGCGGAAGAATGATAGTCCCAGAAATGACAGTGAGGCAGCGTGTTGTTCATACTCATTGTCCTATATTGAGCATCGGATTACCCTCACTGCCATGACCTTCATAAATGATAACACTATTAGTCGCATGCAGTGGAGATGGGTTATAGGTATGATTGACAAAGAATTGACACCATCGTGTAGGTTGTAGGTATGGGTGGAGATGGGTTGTTGTAACTGTTTTGACAACCTAAACATTTTTATAGTGATATTTTCACTTAATTTGGATGTGTATGATATGGTCTTGATCATCTTGAGATGTAATATATATATATATATATAGATATACACTAAATGATGTGTAATCATTTCTAGCATGTACAAGACCATTTCATAGACACAATAATCCTAACCATACTCCCAAAGCAAGAAAAAGTTACTCACACAGTAATACACCATCAAATTGCTAAAATAAGTTCATTCATTTTATAAACTCTATTGCCACAATAGGGAACACATATACAATGTTTATAAGAAATTTTTAACCATGAACGCTTGGTGTAAACAAATCAGTTTCAGGAAAGTGCCAAAATGAGATCATATACTACACTCGACAAAATCACAAGAACTCGACCTTTGAACCAAAAATAATCACACAGTGAGTAGATTTCGCAAATAAAAAAATGAGTTCACATACATAAAGTGATCATTTTGGATCTAAACAACATAAGATATGATTGTACATCCATTAAAAGCTAATATAACACACTTAGACAACTAAAAACACCTTGAGACAAGTTAGGCGTTCGATGTAGACTAAAATTGAAACTTAGAAAATAACCTGCTAACGAAATGAAGAAGCATACCTCTTTCGGAGCAGCGAAGAAATAGTAACGAGTTGCGGATAACATCACCACCGAAATACGACTCCAAGAAATCTGACAAGCTAAGCAGAGGCAAGCGAGAACAAGGAACTAAGCAAAACATTTGGATTCTCCCCAAGCCTATTTCCTTAAGTATATATAGATATATATGACTGATAGTTTTTTGAATTTTTGTTTCTTTAACTGGCCCACTTTTCCTCAACGTTTTCCCCAATTTTTCTTCAACAAAAAGAAAAGCCAACCAAAAATCTCTCCAAGTGCTACCTCGCAAAGGAACATTTAGATGGGGATATATAGGGAGGAAATTAGGGTTAGTTGGGGTAAAAAAATCTAGATCGAAAATGGGTTCAAGTCCCATCTAGAATTCAAACTTCAATTCCTTTCCTATTACAGAGAAATACCTTTTTATGAAGACTTTGCCTCATTCCAGAAGAGGAAAAGGGAATCAATGGCTCGGATTGGTCGAGTGTACCCGCTTCTCAACGTGACTTCATCTTAGGGTTTCAAGGCGATTCCACGTGCCCTTTTGTTGTTGAGATGGTACTATGGAGATACGCTTGAGGAAGACGACAAGGAAGAGCAGAGCACTCTGCGTCCCTTGCTGCTCTTTCGCGAATTCGCGTTTGTTGGAGAGGAGTTGTACGCAGTGAAGAAGAAAACGTATAGGATCGGGGCGGGTCACGATTCGCTGCGTTATACGGAATTGTGAGTGGGTCAATTTGGTTTTGTATTGCATAGGGTTTTTTTTAGGATAAGGGGAAAGGAGTTGGGTCAAGTTGAGGGAAACTAACTTGGGCTGCTGAATTTTTTCTTAAAAAAAGGGCCTAAAGTTTGTTCTTTTGATGGGTTAAAGACAAGGTGAAGTCAAAGATAGGTTAGATCTTAGAGTTTAATAAATAATCGAATTGAATTAAGTTTACAAATTTGGTTAAATCTTAAAAGATGAAATAATATTAATTTATTAACGAGCTTTTTAATCTTAATGAAATAAAATAATTAACTTAGTTGTAAACTAGTGATTCAAAATATAACCATAATTTAAATTAAACTAATTTAACAAAAATACTTACTAAAAGTAAAAAAAAATTAGATGATTTTTGAAATGTTTATAAAATATATTAACTACGTACAAAATTATATAAAACATGTATATTACTTAATATCATAAAAAAGTTACAAAACTTATTTCAAATAACTTGCAAACTTAATATTTTTTTTCTTAAAATTTTATAAAACTAATTATTTTAAATCATTTGAAATCGAAAAAGTCGAAATGATTAATTTATATGGTGGAGGTCCCATAATGGGTGTCAACACCCATCACTACTTCTTCATCATCGGTCTATGAGATACTAGGTACACGCGATTTCGTACTCATACTACACTCTGCATTCTTTTGTGGTGCAGATTGGATTTCAAATTCGAGTGTACTTCGTGAAGCTTCTAGAGCTGAGTGTTTGAATTATGTTGTGAGGTACTTGGTTGTGTGGCCCACACCTCCCTCTATATCTCTGATTATCATTTTATTTTAGTATTTAGCAATCCTTATGTTTAGGTTTATAATTTAATTCTAGGCTTGTATTGTAGTTTAGAGGCTCTTGTACTTATGACACTAAATCTTGGGGATGGTATTTTAGATTTCTGCATATAATACTTATGACTTAGTATTTGGATATTATGTTTTCGCTTATCTTTCTACTTTAAAGATTAAAGATATGAGATTGGCTTACCTATCGGTTGGAATCATGTGTGCCATCATGACTTGTGATCTTGGGATTGTGACAAGGTCATTTTAGGTCACCATTGTTTGAGTTCATTTTGACTTACATGCTCATAATATTTTGAAATTATAACAACAATTAGTTGGCTAAGTTTCTAATAACAAGAACGTTGATTATATTTTTCACGTTATAAAAATCGTTATTCTACGTTTATTGGTACGTAGAAGTTTCACGATTAAGACATTACTCACTATTTAATTCTAACCATTACTTATTTATATTAGAGGTATATTAATTATATTTAACAAGCCCAATAAATATAATCTATTATTTGAAAGTATATTTCTTTCTTTCTTCTTCTATTGTTTTTAATTTGTTTTTATTTTGAAAAAAAGTATATTTATGTTATTTGTATTAAAATAGCTATAAATTACAAGAAGTTCTTTCATTTCTAAAGAAGAATGATTAAAATATCATGTTTTTTTCCTATTGAACCAAATTATACAACTCTACATTTATAGGAAGGTATATTACAATTATTTTACATTCTTTTTACGTGAGAAGAAACACTTAAATTATATTTAAAATTTTCAATTAAACACTTAATTTTATATATATATATATATATATATATATATATATATATATATATATATATATATATATATATAATATTTCTTCTATTCAAATAATATATTTAGTAAATTATTTAAATTTTCTATGACCGCACGAAGGCGGATAAATTCACTAGTTACTAATACTTATAGATACGATCGACCACGTTAAAGGCCTTGAGTTTTAACATAAATCATAAAAGAAATATTTAATAATGAGAAAATCCTTTTGAGTAGTATTACTTTGAGAAATAGACATAATATAAAATTTATAGTCTTTTTTAATGATTGTGCGAAATACACATAAATTGATAAGTAATGAAATAATTTAAAAAGGTCAAATAACATGACCCTTACTTCATCATTCCACTTAGTCAGTAGGAAGATTCTAGAGTAATAGAGAGGTTCTTAAATCTAAAAAAACTCTAAAATTCCTAGGTTTAGAATAATACTCTATATAGAGAGGGTATTCTAGAAAAATGACCTATTTGTAAATATATAGGAACTACTATAGAAATTATTATATATTTATTATCCTCTAATGTATTATTACTCCTATATATAAACCAATAAAGGTAGGACTAACACAGCTATGAAAAGTTGTACCAAAAGCATTCTAAATGGTATTCTAAAATTGCTACTTTCTCCCCTCCACGAAAATATGTGGCAACACCATCATTCTTCAAGGAAACACCTGTCAACACAATTGTTAAGAATGTGTGCTGTAAAAGTGTACAAAAAATAGCTTCATTCCCCTTTTCTTCACAATTGCACAAAAATATCGTTAAAAATTTATTCAACTGAGTTTTTATCAACTGTCATCAGAGATAAAGTTGAAGTAGCACGTTCTCTGCTACTAGAATTTGCCCCACTCTGTCTCTCCTTATAGAAAATCAGTGAAATATTGCAAAGTAGCGAAAAGGGTCTTCAGTCATCATCCTAAATCATGTAATTCGATTTTGTTTGCAATCTAAAGTGAAGGTTAAACTATGAATTTATTTGAAAATATTAACTTCCATTCTTTTCTTTTTTTAGAGATTATTGATTTAGGCATCTTTATTTTTATGAATTTGAGTCTTCTTTTTTCTTTTCATTTCAAATAATATGAAGTGTACCTATGTTGATATAGTTAATGGGTTCGATAATTTGCCTAAAGTAACTAAACAAGTTTCTGTCTTTTTCTTTTTTTACACTGAGAATTCTATATCTTGATTATTATTATCCAGTTCAAGAGGTGTATTATTTATCACTACCAACAATAATAGTAAGTAATATGTTCTTACTGATATACCGTGGTTTCACAGTATAATTAATACTTTTTCCTTAAGTTTAGTGTGTCCGAAAGCCCTTTTTGTGCTAATTTTTATATAAGTTTTTCTTTGTTTTGCAGGAAATCTGTCTAAAGCTGAATGCGGAGATTTTGAGCGAAAAATGCAGAAGAGACCACCTACAGAGCTTATGACGGTCCGTCGTGCTTGTGACGGTCCGTAGATGGTAGCGTAGAGAAGCTGCTGAAGGAAGATGGGGAAGTCTGACCAAGTGTGGGATTATGAAGCTTGTGACGGTCCGTCATGGATATGACGGTTCGTTCTGCAGGTTCGTCGCGAAGATCAGAGAAGTGATCCCAGTACCCAAATTCCAAAAGTTGAAGTATTTTGTAATGAAGACCCTCGACGGACCGTCGTGCCTGTGACGGTCTATCACACTTGCCGTCGAGGGGAATGAAGAAAGCAGCAGAAGAATTGCACCCAAGTATGGGGCGACGGAGCCCACGACGGTCCGTCATGACCACGACGGTCCGTCGCGTGGTCCGTCGATCCAGCCGCGTTTTGACAGATTTCCAGTAATTAGAATCCTTGTTTAATTAGATTTTT